ACACACACACACACACACACACACACACACACACACACACACACAGAAGCGTGCTCAGCGTGTGGACTAACAGCAGATCATTCTGCCTGGATTTATGCTGTTTAGAATTCACAAACAACTCTGATTACTTTTTTAAAAGTTGAGAGACGTTACGTTAGCTAGCAGCTGCGCTGCTGATCAGTGCTAACAGGCACGGAGCCGCTGACTCCCGGTCACATGCAGCGGGTCTCTGGTGGATCTTGCTGTATCAGAGTCATTATTGATAATGTAACCATGCTGTGGCTTCACCTGTCCCGTCTTCCTTGAAGAAAAAAAGTAGCTCAAAGCTGTCGCATCAGACAGTTTTCATGGTGCGTCACATCACACACATGCCTTGCTATCTTTGTGAGGACTACACACACAGACTCACTGCGCACAAGAACCTGCGGTGTTGGTTTTTCAAAGTAAAGTACATCTTARCTTTTCATTGATGTTTGAATAGGGTTTCAAAGTCTGATTACGGTTAGTATAAGAGTGCAAATATAGGATATAAATATATGATATGATTTATATTGTCTTAGCCTAATATAGGCCTATTATTAAAAAAAAGAAAAGAAAAAAACTTTATTTTGAAAGTGTGGCAGCTATGATTTTTGCTGTGGCGGTGCACCATGACCAATTACATGTAGGGGAAACCCTGCTAATTTACTACCTTGTAAGCACAATAATGATTAGTAAATGCATATTTTAACATATAATAATGTACTGTATTGCTGCATTATAAATATCCGCACATATTAAAGGTATCCCTATTGTACAGTGTAAAACTGTACACTATTTTAGATTGGGTTGGATTATTTGGTACGTTAACATGACATTTTTTTATTTTTTTGTGACATCAACATTGTTGGTAGTAGTTACATGTTTGAACAATAATTTCAAATAATGATTATCAACATTAAGTTTTATAAAAACTGATTTTTCACATTAAAGATTTGGCATTTATAAATGTTTGTCATTAATAAACAGTGTACTGTATTTCACTTAATGATAAGTCTCCCTTTGTCAGTTATGAATATTTATAATGCAGTAATGCAGTACAATATTAATATGTTAAAAGATGTTTCTTATAGTTATTGTGCTTACAACGTTGTAACCCAGTCTGAAATGTTTAATAAACCAACTTTAGATGTAATATGTACGTGAACAGGTTTGTCTCATTATTTGGTAAAAAAATGGACAGTTTTGTCTTTATCGTTCTTAATTGTTGCACAATAAACATTTAATGATTTATAAAGTGTAAACTTTACAGATGAATTAGTAACCTATCTATAAACTCTTTATAAGCCATTTATAAGGGGAGACTTATTGTAAAGTGGTACCAAAAAAATCTTGCACAGTAAATTCTCAGTCACTTCCCAGTTTTTCATACATTTTACTGATTGTTCAAATTTTCTTAAGAGAAGAAGAATTCTGTCAGCTCGATTCATTCTGGACTTTATTATTTGACTCATGAGCACCTCTAGTGTTTGAACATGGAACTGCACCCACCATCATCACCCCCAGGTAAAGGACAGATGAGTGACAGGACAGGGGCACTTCAGGGGGTCAATCAGATTTCAGCTAGGGCCAATGCCCCTGTGGCCCCGCCCCTAGAACTGCCCCTGAGAAGATGTGACATGTGTGATTTCTACCTGTGGTTTCTGAAACTCTTCTCAATATAAACGTGTGTGGACACCCAACAGTTCTACTGTAACATTAGATCCTACGAGTTCAGCAGAGACCTGAGGCTATCAGTAGTGACCAGACAACATGTGGAAGACTCCATGGTCCCATGCTGGTCAGCAGCAGGACTTAGTCAAGATTTACGGAGTTCTTCAACAGTTTGTCTCTGTGCCACTCCTGATGAAAACTGAAGGAAGATCTTAGCAGCAGTACTGACCTTAGGATTGTGTTTATCTCTGGCCATGAGACTGAGCAGCTCCTCCACCAAATCCGGATAAATATGACCAAATGTCTTCATGTCTGGAAGACACAAAAAGCAGCATTTGATGACTGCATTAACATGACTGTTTAGTTTTAAGGAAGGATCCAGTTTTACACCCACATTTGAAACAATATTTTTCTCCAAAGGGGCAAGAGAGGAAAGGTCAATTCAGGGGTAAGTAGGTATCTCTGCAGACAAAGTAAGCATTTCTCAAGGGAAACACATTATTGGACGAACAAAAGGGGGCATTTCTCAAGGGATACAGCCAATTGGATGATCACTGCTTAGGCATTTCTTCTTATCATTAGCTTACTTTTCTAGCATCGGACTTTCATTTCTTTATTTAGATTCACAAACTTGCTGTTGTTACTGAGGTCATCAGAAGACTTGGGAATAATACCGGCCAGCAGATTATGTTAGCCGCTGTTATTATATATTTATATGAAGATGCTGCAAGTGTTGGACTTGTCATCTTCATTCATTATTTCTGCTTCTCTCAACAAAGAACTTTGGATTACGTTTCAAAATAAGAGCGGACAGTTTTATTTATTTTTAAATTTTGAGACGTTTAGAAATAGGGTGAACTAAATGTTTGGTTTTAATGATACTTTGCGAAAACCAGTTTTGACTGCGAAAATTAATGTAGTAGTTCAAGTCAAAAGTGAAAGAAAAGAACCAACCTTTTCAAAAAACAGCGGATAATACAACTAGCCAATCAGTGTTTATGCTTGAGAAACGCCTACTTTGAGTCTGCAGAGAACCCTTTCTCACTGGTGCTGTTAGATATGAACAATACAACCTGTTGTCTTCTTCTCGCTAAAATACAAGAAATTCAACCAGGTAGTTAAAGAAAGGTTGGACAGAGCATGCACCACACTCAGAAGGAAATATATTTGATAATGGTCTGCATAAAAATAAAAAGGGATGCCATGTTTGCAAAACAAATACCACGCAGGGGCAGCTGGTATAAAGAACATGAAGAGGCTCAAGACAGGAACCTTGTGGTACCCCCATCAGGAGAGCTGCACAGGTGGAACTAAAACTCAACTCAGTCATCCAGGACATGTTCAGATTGGTTTTTATATCTTGATACTAGAAACCCTGAGGTGAAAGAGGGTGAACTTTTTATCCTGTGACTTAAGAAGCATATTTACAAAGACATGTCCTTTATGATCCGTAGCATGAAGCTAACCCCACCTTTCCATATCATGGGCAGCAGGTCCAGGCGGTTCTCTGTGTCCAGAGTCTGCAGCATGCCCATCATATTCTCAGGGTGGGGGTAAAACATCTGCAAACAGAGGATTGAATGGAAATCAGGAACCAACCACTGCTCACTGAAAACATCTCAGAAGATGAAATGCTTTCATCTTTTTAAAAGGAAACATGTATGATGTGTGCCTAAACATTAAAACGCCTGTAGTAGGAGCTGAACAAGGACATTAAGATGATTAAAGTAGTGTTTATCTTTTAACTACAGACAGTTTAACATCACCTGACACTTTGACTCAGTCCCTTTATGTTCTCAGATGTGCAGCAGTTGGTGCTGACCTCTGATCACATGGTAAACGGGTCATTCTACAGTGTTGTTAGTGAACAGAAGGTGGGTGCAGAGGATGTACTGACCGAGGGGACCAGCTTTTTGTACCACTTCAGCACCACATCAATGTTCTCCATCTGGCACAGCAGGCGTAAGAAGCAATTGCTTGGAGGGAACCAGGAAAGCTTTGGTTACAAAATAAAACACATACAGAGTCGTTTACAGACACAGAGCACCAGATGTAACTTACTAGTAATATGCTTGTTTGTTGGCAGCTCCCAGCAGCCTCCAGTTCTCTCCAACTTCCAACAGAGAATGAACTTTATAACCCAACTCCAAATCGTTATTGATCAAACACTTCGAGCAAGAAGAAACAAGGCGGGTTAGTATGTTGATTTACACACAGGCTGATGGAGCTACGTTAATTCAGACAAGACTGATGAGCTCACAATAATTCAGTTAAAACTGAAGTGAACTGCTGCCAGCAACCTGTTTGTGTGTTCATTCACTGCCTGACAAAAAAGTCAACACCTACAAAAAGGTCACACTCTAAAATTTTATTGGACCACCTTAACTTTGATTAAGGCACAAATCATAGACCTGACCACCTGTAGAGACCCCACATCATAGACCTGACCATCTGTAGACCCCACATCATAGACCTGACCACCTGTAGACCCCACATCATAGACCTGACCACCTGTAGAGACCCCACATCATAGACCTGACCATCTGTAGACCCCACATCATAGACCTGACCACCCGTAGAGACCTCACATCATAGACCTGACCACCTGTAGAGACCCCACATCGTAGACCTGACCACCTGTAGACCCCAAATCATAGACCTGACC